ATAAGTGAGGTTGTGAATGTAAAGCACAATCGCTGGTGCACAAACGCTCCCCATCTGAAGCTCTTATTCTGAACCAGAGGTGTCTTTTCGCACTTTAGCTTAATCCACTTCCAAAGTATCCCTGTAGAGAGCTCCTGTAGAACAGTTATTCTGGGCTATTTCCCACTGCAGACAAACTTTTTGGCTGCATCTACACAGCAGCAAGTGAGGTTGTGAATGTAAAGCACAATCGCTGGTGCACAAACGCTCCCCATCTGAAGCTCTTATTCTGAACCAGAGGTGTCTTTTCGCACTTTAGCTTAATCCACTTCCAAAGTATCCCTGTAGAGAGCTCCTGTAGAACAGTTATTCTGGGCTATTTCCCACTGCAGACAAACTTTTTGGCTGCATCTACACAGCAGCGTTATTTCGGAATAACTGACGTTATTTCAAAATAAAATGCGTGTCTACACAGCAAGCCATTATTTCAAAATAATGTCGAGATGGAGGACTTCTTACGCCGATTCCTGTAGCCCTCATTTCACGAGGAGTAAGGGAAGTGGAAGGAGGAGTGTTCTTCCTTTGACTTCCTACTGTGTAGACAGCGCCAAAAGCCCAGTTAAGCTATTTTTACTTCAGCTATGCAACTGACATAGCTAAAGTTGCGTAGCTTAATTCAACAGATCAGCTGTGCAGCGGCTGCCCCTTTAAAATGCTGCCTGCATGCCTTTCAAAGGGGCAGCCATGGAGCCTGGGATCAGCTGACCCCTGGTTCCCAGGAAGTGCTGCGCAGAACCCGGGGTGGTGTAGAGGCTGATCAGCTGTGCGGTGGCTTCCCCTTTGAAACTGCTGCCTCCACCCATTTTAAAAGGGCAGGGGATCCTGGGGTCAGCTGGGGACTCCCCAGTTGACCCCGGGCTCCTGCAGCATTTCCCCAGAACTTGGGGTCAACTGGGGAGTCCCCAGCTGACCTCGGGCTCCAGGCAGCTGGTTGGGGAAATGAAGTGGGAGACCCCAGCTGACCCCAGGCTTCACAGCTGCCCCTTTGAATAGCTGCAGAGGCAGCATTTTAAAGGGGTACCCCATCTCACAGCTGATCCGCAGATCAGCTGTGTAGCAGGCTGCCCCTTTCAAATGCCACCTCTGCGCATTTCAAAGGGGCAGATGCCGTGGAGGTGCCGCGTGGAAGTGCCGCATGGAACCCAGGGTCGGCTGGAGAGTCCTCAGCTTACCTCAGGCTCCTAGCGGCATGCAGTGTAGCATGGAGCCTGGGGTCAGCAGAGGACTTGGAGTCGCTTTCTGACCCCGGGCTCCGTGGCTTTGAAATGGCTTTGAAGTCCTCTTGTGTATTTCAAAGCAGGCATGCCAGATACAGCCTGGAGTCAGCAGGACTTCCTGCTGGCCCTGGGCTGTATGTGGAGTTCTGCATTCCTCCTTTGAAATGTACAAGAGCCCCAGCAAGGAATCTTGTACATTTCAAAGGAGGAATGCAGAAGTTCCTATCGACTAGTCGACTAGTCAATGGAAATTCCATCAACTAGTCGACTAGTCAGTTAACCGCATTTTAACATCCTTACTGTGGATCTGTATCCCACAATGTGCTGTTGTTGGAAGGTAGAGTTGATCCCTGCACATCTTGGGATTCTCTCCAACTTCTCCTGCAGCCTCTTCAGCTGCCAGAAGCAGCATCGTGAGTAGCTCTGTGATCTTTCTATGATGAGGAATGTCAGAGCAACACAGCAGCCTGTCTCCCTCCCCCTGCAGCAGCAGTCTGCCCGCTGCTGTGCTCCTAGCAGGGCAGAATAGGAGCACTCCAAAGTTTTGCTCTTTGTTTGTTCCCCAAAGGGAGCAGCTCACGCAGCTGTCAGATTATTCCAGGAGGGGTGAAAGGGGCGGGATGCGAGGCAGCAGAGATCAAAGCTGATCAGAGCCATCAGGACAGGCATTGGTGGGATACTGGCAGACGTCAGTTCTGTCCACAGAACAAACAGCAGAGTCTACACTGGCTCTTTATGTTGATAAAGGGAGAGGAAAAGAAGAAAGTCTCTCGCAGGGGTGGAACAGGGTGTTTTTCCTGACAAAAATCCCATTGCAGTGTGTACACTCTCACGGTTTTGTTGCCAAAAGACAGGTTTTGATGACAAAACATTGTAGTGCAGACAAAGCCTTAGCTAATGCATCTCTTAAGGGATCACTTGAGGGGAAGTGGCCCATTAAACACCTCTCCAGTGATAGAGGAATAGGGAACAAGAACCCTTCCCTGCAACATTTTCTTTGAATACCTAATTCTTCACTTCCTATTCCAAACTGTTAGGCAGTGTTACACTTGCCATCTTGCACCCTGTAGTGGAGTGTGAGGACTTACGCCATATCCTGTCTTCTCATTACAGCTGATGAAGGGAAATTAGAAATACTGGCGGGGGGGGGCGGGTTGCATTGTGCTTTCTCCCCTGAGATAGCTCTACTGCGTATGGTGAGCTGAGAACCCAGACATGCCTGGGGCGCAGGGTCGAGCTAGGCGTGGTTTAGCTAACAGAAGCTTATGGACTAAAGCAAAGTTGCCTGTGTTCTGCATTGCAGCATTGAAGAGGCATGGGTGCGGGAGGAACGTGTCGCTAGCCTTCTGCAGATGGCTGTCCAACCTCATGGGAATGTTACGGAGATCACGTAAGCAGAGCCTGAACTGCAGCTTGTCACCGACCCAGCCCTGTAACCGCCCTCAATGGTCCAGGGAGGGCACCTGTTCTCAGGAGCTTGGCTCCCCAGCTCTCTGCTCTCTTGGGTGGAGACGTCTCTCCCTTCTGCCCAGGCTATATCCAGGCTGCACGGTTCCCTGTTGTGCTATGAATTCACCTGCAAAGTCAGGCAGCCTAAGCAGGCCTGCTCGCTTTCTCCTCAGAAACTGATGACAGTGTAAAGGGCCATGGTTAAGCTACAGCATGCTAATGAACCTTAAAGAGATCACCCCAACTCCAGCATGGGCTCCAGCAGATGATTAGTTCTTCAGCACTGCCCAAGGTGTCTCCTTCGTGGTCATAAATTCATGGCAGCCTTAGCTCAGACCTAGCACGCTCAGGACAGGTATTGTCCATCCAGGGATCTCTGAAGTTCCCGACATTTCCATTCGTTGTGGCTCTAGAAAAGTGGCATGCAAGCCTACAGGAACACACAAGCAATTGCATTTTTATACAGGCGATGCCCAAACCTCAATTCAGTGAGATTTAACTTAATTCAATAGGATTTCAGGAAATTGCCATCTGTCACACCACTGTTTTCAGTTCCTTTTTAAAAATAAATGACTGTGTGTGGAAATCAGGCTTGGACAAATGCTGTCAAGTCCTTAGGCAGAGATAATTTCCATTCATTTGATAAATCAACTCTGCCGATTTCCTCTATTCTGTCCCATCTTATGGACAGTAACCTGCGCGACAGAGCCTTTGGAACAACTTGTGTAACACGCCAACGAGCTCTGGGCTGCGATGTATTGATGTCTCCATCTTCTCCTAGGATATTAAAAGGCAAAGGTCTCCTGCGAGTGAGGGTGGGGTTTCCCTGTCAAACGGAGAAGATGGAGTCTGTGGTTAACAGGTGAGGTGATGCATCTGGTTGTGCTTTTCATAGCTGGTTTCTCGCTCTGACTGACCATGCAATAAAAGAACTCACTAGCATTCCAGTTGTATCCTTAATAAGTAGAAGCCTTCAATTAAACCTGATCAGGCTTAATGCAGGCTTTTGCAAGGGGGCGTGTAGAAGGGATAGTACAAAGTGTTACCAGATTTGCCTGTTGCTTTGGAGTAGGCTCATGTATTACTTTT